TATATATATATATATATATATATATATATATATATATATATATATATATATATATATATATATATATATATATATATATATATATATATGTATATATACAATATATATGTGTGTGTGTGTGTGTGTGTGTGTATTAAGCAGTCCGAGATTTCTATCTTGTCTGAATTAAGGGTCTATGATCCTATCGAACCTGATCTCCATGTAGCCTTAAGCGGTTTCCTTCTGCTTTTATGGATATTGCTACGGGCATTTCATTTTGTATTCTACTATATGTCGTTAAAAGCAACAAAGCAAGCGTCCATTCTTTATGACTCGTATAACTTCACCTGCCTTTTGTATATTTCCTAGAAATGAAGAACACATCCAGTTCTATCCTCTTCTGTCTTTGGGTTTGGTCTTTCGACTCGTAGAACAGGTGACCTTACCGTGATCTTCGTGGCCTCGTTATTACTCCCATTATGCCGATTAATATTCCTCGAACTACGAATGCTTTACCCCTCCTCCTGAATAACTCCTACAGGCTATTAATGTCTATGCACAGTACTGATCAAATTATTTGAACACATGATATGCGTACATACATAGACATAAAAAAGTCGTAGAAACACCAAATTTCTAAATAAATAATATCGGTCGAGATTTTTTGGAGCCAAAAGTTGTTTGATGAGCACATGTTTCTGGTTTATTTTTTTCACGGGGAATCTGAAAACCAAATCCTTTTTTGCCATCACATCTCGTTTTCTCAGTACAGATAATTTCTATTTTTCTTGAAATAAGCCAAAATACCCATTTAACAGGACCAAGTAGAAATAATATTAAACATTTTCAGATTAGATTAACTCATCATAAAAGAAAAAGTATCCCAATAAATTAATGAATGCATTTTCAGTTCAGAAAAAGTTTTCAGAAAAAGTTTTCAGAATTAAATTAAGACAAACATGTGTCAGCAATTTTTGAATCAAAAAAAGACAAAGAAGGGACAAAGGAAAAATTCATTCCTTTTTGTCCATTCAAAGGTCGCTTCTTGGGAATTTTACAGTGCTTTTGAAAAGTTTGATCTCTTTTGATGATCCAGTAGAAATCAGCCATCATTTAACATCCCATCCGCCTTTGTATCTTTCTTCCATTAACTTAAGACCCTGATGGAACCTCTCTCTCTCTCTCTCTCTCTCTCTCTCTCTCTCTCTCTCTCTCTCATATAACCAAGATTATAACCTTTTCTGTAACTGAGAAAATGTGATGTGATGGGAAAAATGAACTTGATTTTCAGATTCAGCGAGAGAAAAAAAAGCCCAGAAACGTGCACATTTGGGTAAAACAATGTCGACTGGTGTTGTTTACTTAAAATTCTGATTTTTCTACTACCATTTATGTGAATGTATATACACCTATCACGAGTTCAAATCATTTAATCAGTAATGTGCGTAGACATTAATAGGTTGTAGAGTGATTCACGAGGAGGGGTAAAAATGGACTTGATTTTCAGATTCAGCGTGAAAAAATAGCCCAAAAACATGTGACTATTGTCCCTTTATTTGGACCGAAACCAAATGTTAATCAGTACAATCTACGAGGGTAAGTAAAAAATGACCCGCTCTTTCGCCATAACATGTCATTAGCTTTGTTACACTAGCTTCTGCTCTTGCGTGCTCATAGTTGATACTCTTGTGGTCACGTGATCGAAATTTAAGCTTGATTGCGTCGGTTTTCTTGCTGCTGTTACAGTGTAAACATAGCCGCTCCTCTAGCAGTGTGCACGAAAGTGGAGAAAAAGGCATTTATTCATACTTTGGCTACATGAAACATGTCAGCTATGTTTTTGTTATAGCAACCATGTTTTATTTTGGTAGATAAATTTTGTGTCATCTTAGAGAAAGTTAGGGGTTAAATCATAATCTGTGACCTAGCAATCTGTTCGCATATCAGCTTTCTTATATAACTGTCTTAGAGTGGATTTGGGTTGAAAAGTAATTTACACGGATCCTGCTTGTTTTTTTTCGGATTATTTCTAACCTAAAATCTGAGCGACACAAAGTAAATATTAGGTTGAGTGGTTTTTGTTTATCAACATTATTCTTAAAAAAAACCCAGTAAAGTGAAATTACATTTTATTCCATTATATATATTCACCATTAATTACAAGCCGCAATGACCATGGGGGAAAACTCATTAAAAGAATTGCCATGAAAATGTTTATACAACAGACAGAGGAAAGCCACATCACGGCAATGGAAAATTGATTGAAGTCAATCTTCAGTGTAGGGAGAGATTACATTACAGATCCTTGTTTAGATCTTGTGAAAAACCTCGAAATATAGAATGGAGTGCAAAGATCTGATAGCGTCCGGGGCTGGATTATGAATGGCGTCCCCTACCCCCACCCAAAACATAATTCTTGGTTTATTTTCTTTTGGACAGATCCATTGTTCACAAAGGATTATCACAATCAGTTAAAGGGGATTAAATAAGATATATTAACACACTATGCAAATTAGACAAATTTTAATTATTTCAAAGATGACTAGCAAAAGAAAGCTTATGAAGTTCCGTTTTTGGAAAAATAATAACAAGCAATATGATTCTATATTATTCAAATACAAAAATTCGTAAGGTGTTTGTTAAGAAGATCGTCATGTGGTGAATACTGTGTGAATGTGTGTGTGTGTAACAGGTTTGGCATGGGAGGTTATTTTTCTCATAGATAGAGAACGTCTTGTAACAGGGTTCCTGAAATTAACAAATTAGTGATTTCCATTTTTTCTGAATTAGGTTATTTGCTTTTATTAATAATTTTAGCGACATATATGGCAGAAACACCAAACCAGATAACATTCACATTAAGATTAAGGTAGATTTATAAATGTTTAAGGTGGATTCTGATACAAAAAACATGGAATGACACAATGAACCAACTTTCCACTCGCGACACATTTTGTAATTCAATATATATATATATATATATATATATATATATATATATATATATATATATATATATATATAATATATATATAATATATGTACAATATAATCACTATAATATAGATATAATATATAATCTATAATATATATACAATATAATCACTATAATATACCTATAATATATAATATATATACAATATAATAACCATAATATATATATAATCTATAATATATACACAATATAATCACTATAATATATCTATAATATATAATATATATACAATATAATCACTATAATATATCTATAATATATAATATATGTACAATATAATCACTATATATATATATATATATATATATATATATATATATATATATATATATATATATATATATATATATAATATATAAATATAATATAAATATATATATATAATATATATACAATATAACTATTAAACAACATTTACCGGCCTGAATGTCCGAGAAATTTTTCATAGAAAATATGCGTCCTCCGACAGGAATCGAACCTGTATACGGAACCGTCATGGAGAATTGTAGGTTAAAAACAGTAAAATCGACCTTGATAACCGAAACGCTCCTCTTTGACGCAATCGGTAAAGCGCATTCGGGATCTGACGGTTTTGTATAGGATACAGGTTCGTTTCCTGTCAGAGGACGAATATTTTCTATGACAATTTCTCGGACATTCAGGCTGGTAAATGTTGTTAATACTGTTTATTATAAACAGAGCATTTACTTAAATAATTGTATCTATAAAAAGAACGTGTAAACATAAAAAAATGTCTTAAAATCTTTATAAATATATGAGTCTTAGTATGCTGTTAATCAGCATCGAAATATTTAGAAAATCAAGCAAATATTTCCTTTGCTAATATTCACGCTTTACATGACGGTTTCTTACTTACAAAGCTTTTACCATGTCTTTTTTGGTCACACGTCTATTTGTTAATCGGCCCTAATGCATTTGTTTTATTTGACGTCAGTACGTATTCGTCATCTCATGTGTCTACGAATTTCTAAGATTCCAAGTACAGCTTATTGCGCCTGGCCTGCTCGAGTTTAGTCTTCATTCATCATTTTGTGTAGATGAGGGCGACGTAACCATCCTGGGCGCGCTTATGGACATGTTAGGTGGAATCAAAATTTCAATTTGAAATGAAGTTGATTCTCATATTACTTTTTCATATCTCCATTTCTTGACACTAGGTGGCGACACAGGTGTTCGCGAACAAGATCAAATTTATCTCTTAAAATGCGCGGCGCAATATAACGTTTTTCGTTCATCCAGTAATTTTCTAAATTTGTCTGATATACAGCAGTCGCCATTAATATAACAACACTAGGGCATGCTGGGAATAGCTTGTCATCCATTACACATTGAAAGACAGTGATGCGTCAAACTTCCAGATAGAGTGAGTGTAATTACGACGGAAAACACGAGGCTTGAATATCTCACATGTAACCGTAGATTTTATTCAACTACTGACTTCGTTAATGACTGTCAGCCAGTCTATGAAATCGATCTCGAGGCTCTTAACCGAAATGTGGACCTTACATTCTCATGGACGATATATGAGAGACTGCCCTTCCAACCTCTTGCGTCGGTGTTTATATATGTACTTCTCATACTGAAATTGTGTCGCCCACCTTCTAGATGCATCTTGTCCGTACATGCGAAACTTCCAACAATGTCTATGAGGTCAACTAAGGTCAATTTTGCATATCGCTTTTCAGATGGGCACTGAGTGTAAATCCTTTAACACTATGATCTGGGAGGAAGACAAGTCGCCTTGCTTTAAAAATCAGCCTTCACCAGTTTTGCTTTTGTCTTAAATATATATATATATTTATACATAATTTAATTCCATTTTTGATAGATAGATAGATAGATAGATAGATAGATAGATAGATAGATAGATAGATAGATGGGAAGAAGAAAGAGAAACAAATAGGGGTTCAATAGTAGTAGTGATGGTAGATGTGGCAATGGTGATGATGATGGCGGTGGTGGTGATTATGTTGATGGTGACTTCTCGGTTATTTTTTATTTTCATTTGCTATTTATTAGTAATTTATGTACAATTTTTATTTTATAAGCTATACAATACAAACACTACACTATTTACATTATTCGAACTATTGTCCTCATATTTGTCGCCATATTTATTAAAACCTTCCGGCCGTTGTAAACTCCGGTATTCTTCAGATTATTGGAATGTCGAACTAAACATTTTATTTCGCTCACTGGGGTAGACTAGTTCCACGTGCCATGTTTTAATGGTTGTCAGTTATCAGTTATCTCCTGTTAATTCCCCTTTTCAAGTTCTCCACTGCCTTAACCGGGTATTGAACTCACACTCTTTAGGTCCTCAAGGACACATGGCACAGTGGATAAAGGCGTTGGTTAGATCCATACAGGACCAAAGAGTGAGATACACAAGGAAACAGAGGAAGATAATGATGAATATGAGATAGAAACAGAGATGGCAAAAACATCCAACATAAATGGGAGAATGTAAAGGAAATATCTTTCGAGGAAAGGCTGACAATTCCAAAAGTAAAAAAGAGCCGTCAAGCGAAGGAAACCATCAACCTTGCTAATCAAGCAATTAGAAAAATAAAGGACGAAATGGAAAGACCAATGAACCTGACAAAAATTAATCATCTTATATATGGGACCCTTCGGTAAAATAACAGAAACAATAGGTAAAAAATTAAAAGTGCAACGTAAACAAAAAAATAAAAATGCCAGCTTGGAAAGAAAAAATAGAAAAACGAAATAAATAAACTACTAGGACAATTGTCACTTCTAAGTGAAGTAAACAAGGGATAAAAAATGAAAAAAAAAGGAAACTGAAACGAAGCCTGGGCATAAAGAATAAAACTGACAAACCAAAAGTTAAAGAGAAGCTAAAATATTTTGTAGATTTGAGTTAATGTTTTCATTGCCCTATTGGAAGATCCAGCCTCGACTTTATTTTGGATTTGCTTTGATGTTTTCATTGTCCTATTGGAAGATCCAGCCTCAATATTTTGTGGATTTGCTTTAATGTATTCATTGTCCTATTGGAAGATCAAGCCTCGAATTTTTTGTGGATTGGCTTTAATGTTTTCATTGTCCTATTGGAAGATCCAGCCTCGACTTTATTTTGGATTTGCTTTAATGTATTCATTGTCCTATTGGAAGATCCAGCCTCGACTCTTCTGTGGATCTGCTTTAATGTTTTCATATTCGTATTCGAAGATCTAACCTGTACTTTTTGGTATATTTGGTTTGATTTTTCATTGTCCTATTCGAAAATCCAACCTGTACATTTTTGTGGAATTGCTTTGATGTTTTCATTGTCCTATTTGAAAATCCAGCCGCGACATTTTTGTGGATTTGAATTGAGGTTTTCATTGACCTATTGGAAGATCCACCCTCGACTTTTTTGTGGATTTGCTTTAATGTTTTCATTGTCATATTGGAAGATCCAACCACGATATATTTGTGGATTTGCTTTAATGTTTCCCATGTCCTATTGGAAGATCCAACATCGATTTTTCGTGGATCTGCTTTGATGTTTTCATTGTCCTATTGGAAGACACAACCTCGAAATTTTTGTGGAATTGTTTTGATGTTTTCATTGTCCTATTGGAAGATCCATCCAAGACTTCCTTGTGGATTTGCTTTGATGTTTTCATTGTCATATTGGGAGATCCAGACCAGAAATTTTTTGGATTTGCTTTGATGTATTCAATGTCCTATTGTAAGATCCTTCCTCGATTTTTGTGGATTTTCTTTAATGTTTTCATTGTCGTATTGGAAGATGCAACCTGTACTTTTTGGTAGATTTGGTTTGATGTTTGCATTGTCATATTGGAAAATCCAACCTGTACATTATTGTGGATTTAATTTGATGCTTTTATTGTCCCATTGGAAAATCCAGCCTCGACTTTTTGTAGATTTGCTTTAATGTTTTCATTGTTCTATTGGAAGATCCAGCCTAGACTTTCTTGTGTATTGGCTTTGATGTTTTAATTGCCTTATTGGAAGATCCAACCTTGACTTTTTTGTGGATTTGCTTTGATGTTTTCATTGTAATATCGGGAGATCCAGCCTTGACGTTGTTGTGGATTTGCCTTGAAATTTTTATTGTGCTATTGGAAGATCTTTCCTAGAGTTTTGTGGATTTGCTTTGATGTTTTCATTGTCCTATTGGAAGATCCTTCCCCGACTTTTTGCGGATTTGCTTTGATGTTTTAATTTTTGCTATTGGAAGACCCAGCCTCGTGTTTAAGCCAAATTTCGAATCGAGGATAAGGCACTTTTGTTCAAAATGTTTTCATTGTCCTATTGAAAGATCTAGCCTCGAACATTTTGTGGATTTGCTTTGAGGTTTTCATTGCCCTATTGGAACATCCATCCCCGACTTTTTGGTGGATTTCCTCTGATGTTTTCATTGTCCTATTCGAAGATCCAACCTCGTCTTTTTTTGTGGATTTGCTTTGATGTTTTCATTGTCTTATTTGAAGATCCAACCTGGACATTTTTGTGGATTTGCTTTGATGTTTTCATTGTCCTATTTGAAGATCCGGCCTCGACTTTTTAGTGGATTTGCTTTGATGTTTTCATTGTCTTATTAGATGATCCAGTCTCGGATTTTTTGTGCATTTGCTTTAGTGTTTTCATTGTCGTATTGAAATATCCAGCCTCGACGTTAAGCCAAATTTCGGATCGAGGATAAGACATTTTTTTTTTCAAAATTGCTTCGTATCTCTCCAGTTTATTGAACTATCAGTGCGTATTATTTTGCCTATTCCGAAGCACCCTAAAATCATAATGCTGCCGCCTGCAAGTTTAGCTGTTAGCGCCAAATTCTTCTCTTCAAAAGTTGTATTAGGAGCATGCCAGATATATCACCTATCGTTGCTCCCAAAAAGCTCTAGTTTGCCCTCATCCGATCATAAAAAACTTTTGTCAAAATAGTTCTAGCTTATTACCATGAGATTTGATATAGTTGACTCGAGCTTCTTTCTGCTTTTTCTAGACATTCTGCCACGAAGGCCGGCGTAGTTCAGATTGTAGACACTGTAGACGTATTATTCTAAGATTAACCTGGGAGTCATGGAGAACCGCAGAGCTCACAAATGAATTTGCCTGGCCTTGACGAACTAGATGTCTACTTACTCTTTCAGATATTTTTTGTTGACAGATACTTCTTAAATGTAATGTCATAATACCAAGGCCTTCAATTTAAAAATAATTTCTTGCCAGCAGGGAACGTGCACTCCAAATCGTTTTGATAGTATTCTCCATTTTATATTCTAGGTTCCTTTTCATCTTGGCATATTTTTCTTTTAAATTTACTCTGTAACTGCAACCATATGCAGACACAGTGAGTTATCTTGGTTGGCTGCTGGATACACGATTTAACAAAAAATAAACACGTGTCATTTTCATTTTTACCCGTGCACAAAAGATATTTGCAGCCAACCACGTAAAAGAAATATACAGATTGTAATTATAAGGGTTCACTTAATATTTGCACATCTTAATTTTTAATTAATATTTTACTCCAGCTTGATATAAATTTTGAACGTGGTTGTAATTCGTTTAATGAAGGTTTTTCGTCAATAAATCTAGAGATCAGTGTCTCTGTCATTGCCGAAATAAAATGAAATTAATTATTACTTGCATTATTTTTATTATTCGGATTGTTATCCTCATCTTTATTGCTATATTCGCAACGTTTCGGCTGTGGTACGCTCCAGCCTTCTTCAGGTGATTGGAATTTTGAACTGCGCTATTTATCTTGTGCACCATGGTGGATTGTTCCACGTGCCATGCCTCTTCCTGATGTCTCAGTTATTTCCCTTTAACTCAACTAGCTAATTTTGGTTCACCACTGCTGTGGCCCAGTGGATAAAAACGTTGGTCAGATCCAGTGACTAGACCCAAAGAGTTGTGAGTTCAATACCAGCCTACAGCAGTGGTGAACCAAAACTTGGGAGCTGAGTTAAAGGGAAATAAGTGAGTCATCCGCAAGAGACATGACGAATGGAACTGGTACAAAATCTTCCCCGATGGACGAAATAAAGGCCGAAATGTTGTGATAAATATGGCAACAAAGATGAGGACAATAATCCGAATAATGTAAATAGTGTACATAATACCTCATCTCAGAAATATAGACAAATACTAAATGGCCGAAACGTTGTAATAAATATGGCAACAAAGATGAGGACAATAGTCCGAATAATGTAGATAATCTACATAATACCTCATCTCAGAAATATAGACAGATACTGAAAGGCCGAAAGGTATTGATAAATATGGCAACAAAGATGAGGACAATAGTCCGAATAATGTAAATAGTGTACAAAATTCCTCATCTCAGAAATATAGACAGATAATTTCTTCTTTTCCATTTTTTTTTAAATCTGGAAATCAACTTCAATGTTTTATAACCTGAATCTTAAGTGACGCAACGGGTTAGATTGTTCTAATCCCCTGAAGAAGGCCGGAGCGTACAACGACCGTAACCTTTTCAATATGGCAATGAACATGAGGATAACAGTCCGAATAATGTAAATAATGTAAGTAATCATGATACCTCATTTCAGAGCGGTAGAGGCCGAAAAGTTGTGAATATGGCAGTGAAGATGAGGATGGCAGTCCGAATAATGTAAATAATATAAGTTATCATAATACCTCATCTCAGAGCTATAGAGGCCGAAAAGTTTTGAATATGGCAATGAAGATGAGGACGGCAGTCCGAATAATGTAAATAATATGAGTTATCATAATACCTCATCTCAGAGATATAGACAGAAATTAATTATATGTTACTTTCCACGTCTTGTCAAAATTTTTGTCTCATTTATTTTTATTTTCTTTCTTCATTTTATTCCCTACTAGTCTTCTTCGTTTTATTCCGAACTTATTATTTGGAGGCATTTGCCAACTGACAAAAGTAAATCGATAGCATGCGTGATTTCAATCTGCGTTTCACAGAGACTTTTTATGCTGTTAAGCTTTTTAAATCGTTTACAGCATTTAAATATTTATTTC